AAGAGATACATGCTCAGAAAATACTGGAGAAAACCCAAAGATTTCAATTCTACCTGACCTTTACCTTAGGCTCCAGCAAGCAGGAAATGAAAGACTATGCAGAGATGTAAATGGCAAGGCTAAGCACTGAAAGAGTGCACCAACACAGAGCCAATCTACAAAGACTGTAAGATAACTAAAAATGTTTTTTTAACTTTATATATTTTTAAAAAATATGTCTAATCACTAACTGACCACTGAGAATACAGAACAGAGATTTCAGGGACCAAAAATGACAAAGAATATAGTCTTTTAAAATAGATCAGAAAAATCACTAAACAAACAAAAAATTACAAGCTACAACAAAGAGCAGCAAAAAAACCCCAAGGAAAAGAGATAACCTGATTTATAAAGTTACCATACTATAATAATATAAATGTCCCATTTTCAACAGATTAGAGGCACAAAAAAGTAAGAAAGTATGGTTCATTCACAGAAAGAAAAAAAAAATAGCAATAGTCCCCAAGTAAATCTAGACATTTGCCATATTAAAAGACTTTAGATTACAAATAAAGTCTTAAATATGCTCAAAGAGCTAAGGAAAATAATTTTATTAACCTACCCTGTGTTAGCCAGACAGAATCTATTTTGCTGAGAGCCAGACAGACTCCATCTTAACCTCTGTCTCACCCCTACCACCATTTCTCTTTGAGTGCATATCTGGGTCATTTTCCTGTGCTGGGTCATGTTGTACTTAGAGCTATAGAAACATATAACCATTGTAACCATATCCTGCTTAGCAAACCCACTTGCTGTTGTGAATTCCCCCTTGATTGATTATATGGCAAGTACTAAATACACCCCCCCACCCCACCACTTGGTAACCAGCAATCATGGGAACCGCTTATGTACACTCTCCTTGGTAACTGGCAATCATGGGAACCTCCTGCCTCCTAGATACCAGCCTCCTTATCTAACTTGCTTGTCCTGCTTCTGTAAATTCTGCTTCAGCTAGGCTCCCCCTCCCCTTTCTTAAGCAAGGTATAAAAAGGAATCAAGCCCCTTGCTCAGGGCTGAGAGATTTTTGAGTGTGAGCTGACTCTCAGTCACCAGCAATAAAGGACTCGCAATCAGATTTCAGAGTGTGGCGCTTTCCTAACAACTCACTTGGATATAACAAAGTGAACAAAGAACTAAAGGAAGCCTGGAAAACTATTATCTCAACTAAGTGAGGATATCAATAGAGATAGAAGTTGTAAAAGAGCACTACATAAAAATCCTGGATACAGAATTATAGCTGGATAGAAGGAATGAGTTCTGGTATTCTGCAGAACTGTAGGGTAAATATGGGAGCAGAGATAAAATCAATAGAGAATAGAAAAGAAATAGAGAGTTTGAATGAAACCAGAAGTTGGTACCTCCAAAAGATTAAGAAAACTGACAAACTTCTAGCTAGACTGTATAAAAAGAAAAGAAAGAAGAGACCCAAGTTACTGAAATTAGGAAGTAAAGACACATCAGCACAATGCACAATTGCAGAATAGGAGAATCCAGCCCCTGTATCTCCATAGAAACATTGATCTTAACAAAAGATTCTATAGTTTGGATGTTTGTCACTAAAATGCTGATGTTAAATTTGATGCCTAATCTTGAAGGTGCAGCCTAATGGCAAGTGTTTTGGTTATGGGAGCAGATCTTTCATGAAGAGATTAATACCCTCCCTTAGGGAGCAGGTGAGTAAGTTCCTGCTCTACTAAGTCCCAGGAGAGCTGGTTGTTAAAAAGAGCCTGGCACTTCCCCTTCTCTCTCTTACTTCCTCTCTCACCATGTGATCTCTACACACACTGGCTCCCCTTCACCTTCTGCCATGAGTAGAAGCATCCTGAAGTGAAGGTACTATGAGGTAACTTACCTGTCTTTCGTGTTCATTGCAGCACTATTCACAATAGCTAAGACACAGAAACAACCTAAAAGTCTGTCAATGGATGAATGGATAAAGAAAATGTCACATACACACACACACACACACACACACACACACACACAGAGGAATATTGTTTAGGCTTAAAAAAAGAGGAAAATCCTACCAGTCATGACAACATAAATGGACCTGTAGAATGTTGTACTGAGTGAAATAAGCCAGACACAAAAAGACAAATATCATATGACCTCACTTATATGAGGAATCTGAAATAGTCAACCTCATATAAGTGGAAAGTAAATGGTGGTTGACAGGGTCTGGGGGAGGAAGAAATGGGAATGTAATGGTTAAAGAGCACAAAGTTTCAGTATGTAATATAAATAAATTCTGGAGACTTACGACATTCTGATATAAGCAATATATATTTGGTCTCTACCTCAGGTTTTTGACACAGAACTCCTAAAACTCTTGTAATTTCCTGAGTAGCAGCAGGCTAGGTATATCTTTTGATCTAATATTTAGTCTTGGATCTGGAGCTCCCAATCCCTTGGCATTTCCTGGGTGATAGGAGTGTCTTTTATTCTAATGAAACAACTCTTGGTGGGCTCCTCGATGTGGGTTGGTCAGCAGAAACACCAAGCTGTAATTAGAAGCTTGGAACTTTCAGCTTTACTCCTCCCCATCTTCTAGGAACGGGAAAGGGGCTGGAGATTGAGTTAATAATCATGTGTGCCTGTGTGATGAAGCCTCTATAAAAATCCCTGAACTACAGAGTTAGGAGAGCTTCTGAGCTGATGAACACATGGCAGGAAGGTGGTCCACCCCAACTACATGCGGACAGAAGCTCCTGCACTCAGAAACCTTCCAGACCTCACCCTATGTAAGTCTTCACCTCAACGTTCAACATCCTTTATTAATATGATAAACCATTAAATGTAAGTGTTTTCTTGAATTCTGTAAGTTACTCTAACAAATTAATTGTACCTGAGGAAGGGGTCATGAAAAACCCTGATTATTAGCTGGTAAGTCAGAAGCACATGTAAAATAATCTGGAGGTTTCAACTCACATTAGACGTGGGAGGCCGTCTTGTGGGACTGATCCCTCAACCTGTAGGATTTTACTCTAATTCCAGGTAGAGAGTGTCATAATTGAATTGAATTATAAGACACTCTGTTTGTGTCTGTTGCAGAACTGTTTGACGTTTAGGGAAAAAAGCCTGCACATTTGGTCACAAAAGTGTTGTGTGTTGTATTGAGTGGCGTGTGTGAGTAAGAAGAACACCTTGTATTTTTTCCCTATCTAATACACTAATATACAGCATAATCTCTACAGCTAACAATCATGTATTATATATCTAAATGTTGCTAAGACAGTAGATATGTTAAGTGTTCTTAACACACACACACACACACACACACACACACACACACACAATGATAATAAATGGAAAGGGAGGACTCTTTGGGAAGTAATGGATACATTCATGCCCTTATCATTAACATTAAATGTATAGAGCTTTTTTATGTGTCAATCATATATCAATTAAGTAGTTTTAAAATGAAATAAAATGTGTGGACATTACTAGCAACCTTACAGAAATATGAAGTGGTATAAAACATACTATGGACAATTGTCCACCACAAATTAGACAATCTAGATAAAATGGACAACTTCCTAGAAACACAAAAACTACCCAAATGACTCAAGAAGTAAAAAATCTGATGAGACATAGGTACAGTGAATAAATCAGTAACCAAAAACCTCCTAGCAAAGTCCAGGATCAGATGACTTCGCTGGTGAATTGTACCAAAGATTTAAAAATAATTAACACAAGGCCGAGAGCAGTGGCTCATGCCTGTAACCCCAGCAGTTTGGGAGGCCGAGGTGAGCAGATCACCTGAGGTCAGGAGTTCAAGACCAGCCTGGCCAACATGGTGAAAACCCATTTCTACTAAAATACAAAAATTAGCTGGACATGGTGGCATATGCCTGTAATCCAGCTACTCAGGAGGCTGAGGCAGGAGAATCACTTGAACCCAGGAGGCAGAGGTTGCAGTGAGCTGAGATCACACAACTGCACTCCAGCCTGGGTGACAGAGTGAGACTCCATCTTAAAAAAAGAAAAAAATATATATATATATAACACAAATACATCTTAATATATTCCAAAAATTAGAAGAGGTTGCAACATTTCCTAACTCATTCTATAAGGTCAGCCTTAAACTGATATCACAGCCAGACAAAAATATCACAAGAAAATTATAGATCATTATCACTTATGAATATAGATATAAAAATTCTCAAAAATATCAACAACTATCAAACTGAATCTAAGAGCATATTAAAATATTATACTCTATGACCAAGGGGAATTTATTCCAGGAATATATATTTAGTTCAACATATGAAAATCAACCTAATACACCACATTAAGAGAATGAAGGAAAACCATCACATTCTTACAAATAGATACAGAAAAAGCCTTTGACAAAATCGAATTCCCTACTATAATAAAAACACTCAACAAATCAGGAAGAAAAGAGAACTTCCTTCACATGATAAAAGGCATTCATGAAAAACTTTTATATCATGCTTAAGGATGAAAGACTTTCTCCTATAATCAAAAACAAGACAAGGATGCCAACTTTTACTACATCAATTCAGCATGGTACTGGAAGTCTGGTCAGATGATTAGGCCAGAAAAAAGAATAAAGGTCATATAAATTGGAAAGGAAAAAATGAAACTCTCTCTTGTTATTGATGACATGATACTACACATAGAAAATCCCAAGATCCACAAGAAACTTACTAGAGCTAATAAGCCAATTCAGCCATAGGTGGCAAACTGCTTATTAACATTCCACAAAGACATGAGAAGCTTGCATCATAATGTAAATGTGCTCACTGCTATTTTCATAAAAAAAACCTGCTATGAAAATAATGTGTACTTTGTTGTCAATTTAAATAAATTCTGACATAGATTCCTTTGTTTTTTTTTTTACTTCAGATTAGCACTTTGAGTAGCATCATTCAGGATTGATCATATGTTACAACTTTATAACTAAATTTTACACATTCAAATTAGTGTGAAAAATTATTGTATTTGCATTGGCAGCACATATACTAAAATTAAAAAAAATATAGAGAAGATTAGCATGGTCCTGTGCACAGATGATATGTAAATTCATGAAGCATTCCATATTTTTAATTAAAAGACACAGAATGGCAAGGTGGATAAAGAGTCAAGACCCATCAGTGTACTGTATTCAAAGACCCATCTCACATGCAAAGACATATATAGGCTCACAAAAGCAGAAAGAAAGCAGGGGTTGCGATCCTACCTTCTGACAAAACAGACTTCAAACTAACAAAGATCAAAAAAGACAAAGGAGAGCATTACACAATGGTAAAGGGTTCGATTTAACAAGAAGAGCTAACTATGCTAAATATATATTCACCTAATACAGGAGCACCCAGATTCATAAAAAGTTCTTAGAGATCTACAAAGAGACTTAGACTGCACACAATAATAGTGGAACATTTTAACACCCCACTGTCAATATTAGACAGATCATCAAGACAGAAAATTAGCAAGGACTTGAACTCAACTCTGGATCAAGTGGACCTGACAGGTATCTACAGAGCTCTCCATCCAAAAACAACAGAATATACATTTTTCTTGGTGCCATGTAGCACTTACTCTAAAATAGATCACATAACTGGAAGTTAAACACTCCCCAGACAATGAAAAAGAACTGAAATATAACAGTCTCTCAGACTACAGTGCAATCAAATTAGATCTCAAGATTAAGAAACTCACTCAAAACCACACAACTACATGGAAACTGAACAATCTGCTCTTGAATGACTCCTGGGTAAATAATGAAATTAAGGTAGACTATAAGAAATTCTTCAAAACTAATGAGAACAAAGAGACAAAGTACTAGAATCTCTGGGAAGCAGCAAAAGCAGTGTTAAAAGGGAAATTTAGGGAGGGGATCAAACATGGCTGAGTAGGAGCAGCTCTGGATTGCAGCTCCCAGCAAGAGCGGGGAGGGTGAGTGGTCACCACATTTCCAGATGGATTTTTATTGCCCACAGACCAGGAGATTTCTAGGCGGAGGAGTGCCACAGTTCCCCAGCATGGCTGTTTCAGCCAGCACAGTGGGTCTCTGCACAAAAAAAAACTCACATGGTCCAGGCTCCATTTCAGCTGGTGACTGGAACATGTGGGAGACAGAGTCACCCATTCAACTGATAAAAAGGGGACTGAAATAGGGAGCTAGACCAGGAGATTCTGGGGGGAAAAAGCACCCCAAGTCTCCTGTGTGGCTGTGTCAGCTGGCCCGGTGGGTCTTCACACAAATTCTCACACAAATCCAGATGCCTTTTCAACAGGCGACTGGAATGCCTGGGAGACAGAGTCACCCATTCAATTGATAAAAAGGGGACTGAAACAGGGAGCCAGGCCAGGAGGTTCCTGGGTGAAAAAGTGCCACAAGCCCCCAGCATGGCTGTTTCAGCTGGCGCAGCAGGTCTCTGCACAAGAACTCACACAAATCCAGGCACCATTTCAATGGGGGACTGGAATGCCTGGGAGACAGAGTCACCCATTCACCTGAAAAAAAAAAAAAAAAAAAAAAAAAAAAAGGTTCTGAAGCAGGGAGCCAGGTGATCAGGCTCAGCCAGTCCCACCCCGACAGAAAACAGCAAACTGAAACACTCCGGACTGAGAGTTTCACAGCAAGCACAGTTGAACCCGGGATGGTCCAGCTGTGTGGGGGAGGGGCATCTGCCATTACTGAGGCAGTCCACCACTACTGAGGTAGTCCACCACTACCGAGGTAATCTGCCATTGCCGAGGTGGTCTGACATTGCCGAGGCAGTCCACCATTACCAAGGCAGCCTGCCATTGCTGAGGCAGTCCACCATTACAGAAAGAGTCTGCCATTACAGAGGCAGTTCTATCTATAACCCTATAAACAGGACTGCAAGGAAGTTCACACAGCAGCTGGGCAGAGCCCACAGTAGCTCAGAAATGCCTCTGCTGGCAGACTGTGACTAGGCTGCCTCCTTGCTGGGCAGGGCAGCCCTGAAAAAAGGCAGCAGCATGACAGAAACTTATAAATAAAGCCCTACCTTCCCAGGACAGAGCACCTGGGGAAATAAAAGGCTGTTATGAGTTCTGTTGCAGCAGACTTAAATGTACCTGCACAGTAGCTCTGAATGGAACAACAGAGTTCACAGCTCAGCACCTGAGCTCCTATAAAAGACAGACTGTCTCCTTAAGCATCTCCCCAACCCCCACATATCCAAAGAGTCACCTCATAAAGGAGAGCTCGGACTGACATCTGGCGGGTATCCTTCTGGGACAAAGATAGCAGAAGAAGAAACTGGTAGCAAACCTTACTGTTCTGCAGCCGCTGCAGGTGAGCCCCAGGCAAGCAGGGTCTGGAGTGAACCTCCAGCAGTCCTACAGCAGAGGGGCCTGACTGTTAGAATGAAAAATAAGAAATAGAAAGAAATAACTTCATCATCAACAAACAGGACGTCTACTAAGAGACCCCATCTGAAAGTCACCAGCTACAAAGACCACAGGTAAAGAAATCCACAAAGATGGGAAGAAACCAGCGCAAAAAGGATAAAAACACCCAGAACCAGAACACCTCTTCTCCTCCAAGGGATCACAACTCCTCACCAGCAAGGGAACAAGGCTGGATGGAGAATGAGTCTGATGAACTGACAGAAACAAGCTTCAGAAGGTGGGTAATAAGAATCCTCTCTAAGCTAAAAGAACATGTTCTAACCAAATACAAAGAAACTAAGAACCTTGAAAAAAGGTTTGACGAAATTCTAATGAGAATAAACAGCTTAGAGAGGAATATAAATGAATTGATGGAGCTCAAAAACAACACGCGAACTTGGCAAAGCATACACAAGTTTCAATAGCTGAATTGACCAAGCAGAAGAAAGGATATCAGAGGTGGAAGACCAACTCAATGAAATAAAATGAGAAGGTGAAAATAGAGAAAAAAGGGTAAAAAGAAATGAACAAAGCCTCCAAGAAATATGGGATTATGTGAAAAGACCTAATCTATGTTTGATAGGTGTACCTGAATGTGACAGAGAGAATGAATCCAAGCTGGAAAATACTTTTCAGGATATTATCCAAGAAAACTTCCCCAACCTAGCAAGGCAGGCCAATTCAAGTCCAGAAAATACAGAGAACACCACAAAGATATTCCATAAGACGAACAACCCCAAGGGACATAATCACAAGATTCGCCAGGGTTGAAATGAAGGAGAAAATGCTAAGGGAAGCCAGAGAGAAAGGTTGGGTCATCCACAAAGGGAAGCCCATCAGACCCACAGCAGATCTCTCACCAGAAACCCTACAAGCCAGAAGAGAGTGGGGGACAATATTCAACATCCTTAAAGAAAAGAACATTCAACCTAGAATTTCATATCCAGCCAAACTAAGTTTCGTAAGTGGAGGAGAAATAAAATCCTTTAAAAACAAGCAGTTACTAGGAGATTTCACCACCACCAGGCCTGCTTTACAAGAGCTCCGGAAAGAAGCACTAAAACACAGAAAGGAACAACAAGTACCAGCCACTCCAAAAACATACCAAATGGTAAAATCAGAGACACAATGAAGAAACTGCATCAACTAACAGGGAAAACAACCAGCTAGCATAAAAGTGGCAGGATCAAATTTACACATAACAATATTAACCCTAAATGTAAATGTGCTAAATGCCTCAATCAAAAGACAGATACTGGCAAATTGGATGAAAAGCCAAAACCCATTGGTGTGCTGTATCCAGAAAACCCATCTCACATGCAAGGATACACAAAGGCTCAAAATAAAGGGATGGAGGAAGATTTACCAAGCAAACGGAGAGCAAAAAAAAGAAGGAGTTGAGATCCTAGTCTCTGATAAAGTAGACTTTAAACAAACAAAAATCAAAAGAGACAAAGAAGGACATTACATAATGGTAAAAGGATCAATGCAATAAGAAGAGCTAATGATCCTAAATATATACGCACCCAATACAGGAGCACCCACATACATAAAGCAAGTTCTTAATGACTTACAAAGAGAATTAGACTCCCTCACAATAATAGTGGGAGACTTTAACACTCCATTGTCAATATTAGACAGATCAACCAGACAGAAAATTAACAAGGATATCCAGGACTTGAACTCAGACCTGGACCAAGCAAACCTAATATACATTTACAGAACTCTCCACCCCAAATCCACAGAATATACATTCTTCTTGGCACCACATCAGACCTACTCTAAAATTGACCACATAATTAGAAGTAAGTCACTCCTCAGCAGATGCAAAAGAACAGAAATCATAACAAACAGTCTCTCAGACCACAGTGCAATCAAGTTAGAACTCAGAATTCAGAAAGTGCCTCAGAACCATACAGGTTCATGAAAACTGAACAACTGGTTCTTGAATGTTGACTGGATAAACAATGAAATGAAGGCAGATATAAAGATATTCCTCGAAACCAATGAGAATGAAGACACAACATACCAGAATCCTTGGGACACATTTAAGGCGTGTCTAGAGGAAAATATATAGCAATAAATGTCCAAATGAGAAGCAAGGAAAGATCTAAAATCGACACCCTATCATCAAAATTGAAAGAGCTAGAGGAGTAAGATTAAAAAAAAAAAAAAAAAAAAAAAAAAAACTCAAAACCTAGCAGAAGACAAGAAATAACTAAGATCAGAGCAGAACTGAAGGAGCTAGAGACACAAAAAATCCTTCAAAAAATCAATCAATCCAGGAGCTGTTTTTTCAAAAAGATCAACAAAATAGACCACTAGCCAGATTAATAAAAAAGAAAAGAGAGAATAATCAAATAGATGCAATGAAAAATGATGAAGGGGATATCACCACAGATTCCACAGAAATACAAACCACCATCAGAGATTATTACAAACAACTCTATGCATATAAACCAGTAAACCTGGAAGAAATGGATAAATTCCTGGAAACTTGCATCCTCCCAAGCCTAAACCAGGAAGAAGTTGAAACCCTGAATAGACCAATAAAAATGGCTGAAGTTGAGGCAGCAATTAATAGCCTACAACCCAAAACAAGCCCAGGTCCAGATGGGTTCACAGCCAAATTCTACCAGAAATACAAAGAGGAGCTGATACCATTCCTTCTGAAACTATTAC